TCAATTTTCCAATCTACTAACTTTAAAGATATTTTTGTGGTCCTGTGCTCCCAAGGAGCGAAAAGGAATACGTCAAAGTACAGAAAGTCATTAGGATATTTAAATATTAACCAACATACTTCAAAAAAATTAAAACTAGAATGGTTCTTCCAATTAAGCCATGCAATCATTTTCAAATTCTCAAATGGTTACTGGTGCAACCGTTCTTTCTCAGAGTAGAAATGCATCGATCATGGATCCGCTGGCTGTACTGAATTTAAATAGCATACTATACAAAAGGGTAAAATAAGTAAACAAGATACATGTGTAATTACAGTTTGAATATTTGAGAGTTTTTGAATTTTTTATCTAATATCGACAATATTTCGTCTAAGTATAAGACCCGAAGCGTATATTGTTTTTATCTTGTCTGTCTATCTGTCTGTTTGTCTGCAAACTTTAACCTTCTCCATAACTTTTGAACTATGAATGGTAGACTTCATAATTGGTATGCATACTCCACTAATTAAGCTCTTTCAAATGACATCAAGGTCAATGACCTTGTGACCTTGACTGTGACCTATATGCTAAAAATAGTTTTTTTCTGCAAACTTTAACCTTCGCCATAACTTTTGAACCATAAGAGATAGAGACTTCATATTTTGTATGCATACACCACTGATTATGTTCTTTTAAATGACACCAAGGTCAATGACCTTGTGACCTTGACTATGACCTATACGCTAAATATAGCTTTTTTGTTGGCAAACTTTAACCTTCGCCACAACTTTTGAACGAAGAAAGATAGAGACTTAATATTTGGCATGTATACTCAACTAATTAAGCCCTTTCACATGACACCAAGGTCAATGATCTTGTGACCTTGACTGTGTCCTATATGTTAAAAATAGCTTTTTTGAACCTTCACCATAACTTTTGAACCATGAGAGATAGAGACTTCATATTTGGTAAGCATACTTCACTAATCAAGTTCTTTTAAATGACACCAAGATCAATGACCATGTGACTTTGACTGTGACCTACATGCTTAAAATATGTTTTTTTTAACTTTTTGCCGCCGGGCGCGTAGTGTTTCACAAACACATCTTGTTTATTATAAACAATCCTTCCGAGAGTACAACATTTTTTATGGTAAATTCTCCTTCAGATGCCGTTTTCCCCACCCATTCCAGGATTTGGACAGTCAAGAAGTTTGTTGTTTTGTTTTTGATTCATGTCATATTTATGTTATTTCATTAGCTAATGTAATCATTATTTTGAAATGTTGGCCCCATTTACTTTTTGGTTAATTAATCATTTAATTTAGTTTTTATTCTTTTACAGTTAAAATCGTTGTTAATTGCCTGTTTTATACCCCCATAATTAAAGATTTAGTTTTTGTCTTGTCCGTCTTTTTGTTTGTCCGCAAAAACTTTGATCATTACTTTTGATTAAGTGGGGTTGCGGCTTTTATATTTCACAGATGTATTTCTTGTAACAAGACCTTTCTTTGGGTACCACAAAATTCGACCTCTTGATCCACTTTAACATCAATTACAACACTCTTACCTTAGATCTAATCAAAACTTTTGAACTGTTGGGTTTAGAACTTGTATTCTTCAAAAGCTTATTCATTGTGATAAGACCTTTCAGTTGGTTTCAGATGCTGGCCCCTCTCTCCACTTTTTGTCCTTGTAAGAGCAAGCACTGCCAAAGTCCTTCTTTTTTTTTTTTTTACAGTCAATTAGTTTTTTTTCTTCTAGAAACATTTATGTTATATTCTTAACTGATGTATTCATTATTTTGAAAAGTTGGCCCTCATCCACTTTTTGGTCAGTTTATTTTTTTTTTTCAAGTTGACTATTCAAACCATTATTGCAGGCCTGTTTTTTTTTTTTTTTTTTTTTTTTTTGTTGTTGTTGCTGTAATGTTGACCAAGACCCTCATGAAATAGTATATTTGAAATTGGAGAAAGTGTCGCAATCCCCTATTTTTTAAACCTGTTGCTAAACTTGGAAATGTGGAATAATTTATGGATAACAGGCTTTGCCAAGTATGTAAATGGTAATCCTTTGTTTCCAACTCTCTTCCATGCCATGGCATAACCAACAAACTAGACATTAATTCCTTTAATTAACAAATATCCATGGGATTTGAAATACAGTTAAAGATAAAGAATACAACTGTACTACTATTCTAACAGAGCACTCCATGAATACAGGTGTATTTTTCTGCAAATTCATGTTTGAAAATAATTTTGCTGAAAAAGGTATTGTAATGATGTAATAAAAATAAAACATGTTAAAAATATCATGATTTTATTTTAAAACTCCAGTCTGTTGTATAGGAAACTGAATGATTTAACTCTTCATCCTTTTCATTAATATGCAAATCACTCAGCCAATCAAATTCATTGTTATGAACTGTCTTCTGGGAATCAGTTTTTGATGCATCATGGGATTGTTCTACTTCCATATCTGAATCAGAATTTTGAGATTTTTCATCTGTTTTATGATCTTCTTCCTCTTCTTCATCCTCTTCTTTTTCTGATTTTCTAAATAAACACAAAAACATGCTGTTTTAATTTATATATTTTTCAACTTAATTTATAAAGATGGTTCACAATTTTCATTTTCTCAAGTCCACAATACATTTTAACTGAGTTTTTGCATGCAAAATCCAATGAACTTTTCAGAAATGGTGTTCAATATGACAAGGATGAAAGATAATTTATAAAAAAAAATCTAAAAATAGGATTTTGGGGAGTTATATTTTGGTCAAAACTGTAAATTTCTATAAAGTACCTTTCTTTTTGTTTTCCGTGGATAAAAGAGTTCAAAAATGGCAAACAAAGGGAAGTAACTGGTGGTTGTGCATGTGCTGCAGATTCCAATATCTGAAATACAAAATACTTCTTTCAAATCAACTTACTTAAACCAGAAAAACAAATTAATACATGAGGCAATTATTATTCATGACTTCTTTTCTTTGCAATTCAAAACCTATTCCCAATGATTAATTTTCGCAAATGAGAAGAATTACTCCACACACACATTAAAAATTAAATTCAATGGTTTGTAGCGACAATCTTTTGCTGTGGGTAAAAATAGATTTCTTAAGATAGAACACTTCCATGTTTTCCTTAAGGGGGACATCCAAGCTCACTGGCTTTTACCTTTTATACAGAATTTTTTATAGCAATTTAAATCCAAGGGAAAGACGGCAGCCTCCCCCTTCGCAACTGTTCCCTTTATCCGCATATTTGATGAGCCCAAAATATATAGCAAACAGGAGGCCCATGGGCCACATCGCTCACCTGAGAATCTTTTGTCATATTGTTCATTACCAGATTTCCCCCTTGTAATACATATTGTGGCCCCGCCCTACCCCCGGGGGTCATGATTTGAACAATTTAGAATCTACACTACTCCAGGGTGCTTCCACATCACTTTCAGCTTTTCTGGCAAAGTGGTTCTTGAGAAGAAGATTTTCAAAGATTTTTCCTATATATTTCTATGTAAAACTTTGATTCACCATTGTGGCCCCGCCCAACCCCGGGGGTCATGATTTGAACAATTTAAAATCTACACTACCCCACAATGCTTCCACATGAGTTTCAGCTTTTCTGGCCCAGTGCTTCTTGAGAAGAAGATTTTCAAAGATTTTTCCTATATATTTCTATGTAAAACTTTGATTCCCCATTGTGGCCCCGCCCTACCCCCGGGGGTCATGATTTGAACAATTTAGAATCTACACTACCCCAGGGTGCTTCCACATCAGTTTCAGCTTTTCTGGCCCAGTGGTTCTTGAGAAGAAGATTTTCAAAGATTTTTCCTATATATTTCTATGTAAAACTTTTATTCCCCATTGTGGCCCCGCCCTACCCTCGGGGTGTCAAGAATTGATCAATTTAGAATCTACAGTACCCCAGGGTGCTTCCACATCAGTTTCAGCTTTTCTGGGCCAGTGGTTCTTGAGAAGAAGATTTTTCCTATATATTTCTATGTAAAACATTGATGCCCCATTGTGGCCCCGCCCTACCCTCGGGGGTCATGATTTGAACAATTTAGAATCTACACTACCCCAGGGTGCTTCCACATCAGTTTCAGCTTTTCTGGCCTAGTGGTTCTTGAGAAGAAGATTTTCAAAGATTTTGCATATATATTTCTATGTAAAACTTTGATTCCCCATTGTGGCCCCGCCCAACCTCGGGGGTCATGATTTGAACAATTTAGAATCTACACTACCCCACAATGCTTCCACATCAGTTTCAGCTTTTCTGGCCCAGTGCTTCTTGAGAAGAAGATTTTCAAAGATTTTTCCTATATATTTCTATGTAAAACTTTGATTCCCCATTGTGTCCCCGCCCAACCCCCGGGGGTCATGATTTGAACAATTTAGAATCTACACTATCCCAGGGTGCCTCCACATAAGTTTCAGCCTTATTGGCCCAGTGGTTCTTGAGAAGAAGATTTTTAATGACCCCACCCTATTTTTGTCTTTTCTTGATTATCTTATATTGATTACCAAAGGCCATGAAATTCACAATTCACAATTTTGAAAGAGGCACCATTGCTTATCATATCAGTAATTATAAACTTAGCATGCTTACTCTATTTACTTAATACCCAGAAGTAGATCAGAGTAACAAAGAGAAAATGCACTTTCACTTTATAACCAGTTGTGCACCTCACCCCAAAGGAACCACTGACCCAGGGGTCACAAATTTCAAATTTTGCAAATTTTATTGTAAGAGTGATGATTTATTAATTAATTTCTAATTAATTAATAAATATCAGATTATTTTGTATTCTATTTGTATATATTTTTATTTCAGCTTATTAGATAAGTGTATGGCCATTCAGGTGTAACAGACAGTGCTACCCTGTTATTTGCCTTTAGGGTTATAATTAAGGTCCTGGCCATAAGTTCTATAAGTCATTTGTTTCTATTGGGTTTTAGTTTTGTGTTCTTGTGTTTTATTGGTTTGTCAAATTCCCTCCAAAGTGTTCTTGGTCTTTCTGGTCATTCTTTGTCCAGATTGTTGATAGAGAGGTTCCATTTATTTGGTTGTGACAGAATTTGACTATTTGACATTCTGACTGTGACTCTCTTCATATTCTGGTAAGCTAATATTTATTTACTAACTTTAACATATCTTTAATAAATAGTTCATTAAATGTGAAATCTGTAATTTCTGCAATATTAATTTCCATAGCACTTTTGCACAGTTAGAGAGATTTTGGAAGTCAGATTTTTACTTAGTTATTAGCAGTAAAGTTAAAGGTATTTTATGATCCAGATAATATGTACAATTATGTTTTTATGATCAGAGAATTATATAAAGTGTATGATAATTTATAGTTATCATCTGGACTCCCAGCCATATACTTTAGTTGTGTGATAAACCATATGGGAGCTTGCCTATTCCCTCAGAATGGTATGCTATTGTTTTTATGATTTATTGTTTATAAGAAAAAGGTACATAATGTCTATGAAGATATTATAGCTTTAATAGTAATATATATTTTGTTGTAAAGTATTTTAATTATATGCACAAAGTGTAAATTCTAAGGGAGTATTATATTATATGTCAAGATGTGTAAGAGTTACCTCCCTTTATGCAGCATTGTGTATATGAATTGTGCATTAATGATTTTATGATTTTACTCAATATTGTTATTATTTATTTCAGGGCAATAGTGAATATATTTATATCTACAACCATTAATAAACAGTTTGTCGAACCCTGACAGGTGTTTTCGTTATTACGATTCCATAACCCTGTTACAAATTTGGCGCCCACGTTGGGACCCTTGGGATAGACAGTGCAGCGAGACCCTCGGGACAGACAGTGAGGACCTCTCTGCAACAACCAGTAGCCTAACGCCATTTCTGATACCCATAGTGAACAGTCTGCCTGACCAGTGCCCGTCCTATAGTGTATGTCGTATTCATGGATGGATGGACGGACTTGTGATGTGTGATGTACGCGTACCATATGTTACGATGATGTAGTGACTGATAGTGACAGTACCGGTACATATCCGTCGAGATTACCTCTGCGGGGTACATATCCGTCAAGACCACCTTTGGACAATTTGGTGACTCATTATTCATTCTTTGAGTTATTTGTGTTTTGTGTTTTGTGTTTTGTGCCATATATGGTGTGCATTTTCTACAAGTGATTTTATCAGCTGATTGGTGAGTGTTACTGTTAGAATATTGTTTACCTGTATACTAAGAGCTCAATTATTTATTTTTTTTTCTTTTCTTTGCTTGCAAGCCTATTGTATTTTTGAAATTTAAATATTTATTGGGTACCCTTGGTATTGAAAATTTTTTTTGATTAATTTAGTTTTAAGTGTAAAGGTTAATTTTAAAAGTTTGACAGCTGAGTGCCAGATTGGTAAGTGAGGTATCACATATTCACATATCCAGAGATCCAGGTACCCTTGAATTACTAAAATGTAAGTAAATTAATTAATAATTCTATCTCTTTTGACAGTGACTTTTTGACAAAAATATATTACAGACATCACAGTTGAATAGTTGAATACAGTTTTCTTGGTAAAGTGTTAGTATTTGTGTGCAGGTGAATTATATCCTTTGGTTCTAAGTTGTGCAGTTTTCAGAGTTGTTGGAGGGTTGATTTGAAAAAGTTTTATTATTACATTTGCTTGTTTTATTGATTAGTGTAGTGCCCACCTTATACTTTATTGATTTTCATTTATTTAGTACTTAATTTACATCGGGTTCGTTCCGCTATTTGATCGAGATCGGTTTTCTTTTCCGATTGCGCATTTCCGATCGAGCTCGAAATCCGCGTTATTTATTTTGACCGGAAGTAAGTTTAGACAACGTGATTTGGTAAACAAATATTGAAATTTGCCTTATTTTCCCAGTGTTTGTTGTTCATTATTCATTTAAAGTCATTTGAAGTACAGCTACAAAGGTATTGAAAGTTATTATCTCTTTCAGGAAATTATTTTGCGTCAAATTTTCTTTATTTCAGCTTTTGAATTTCAGTCAGCTGATTTTTGATTTCATTCAGTAGAACATATCATTTAATATTTATTCGTTGAACTATATAGTACTCAATTGAAATATATCTTGAGTTTATTTGAAAAGCATTCATAGTCATACATATTTACTAGGGAACTACCTATCAGCAATATTCATTCGTTTTAAATATCTGAATCAAGCCCATTTTATCAGTTTATAGTTCTGTCATGAACTCCCACCTGTAAATAATACTTTGTTATTTGTTACTCCCCCATGATTAGTTCATGCTGAACTACCCTCCTATTCTGATTATATTTTTGTTTATTTCATCATTACTGTACAACATGCCGAAATCCGAAGGAGACGCAAGTAAAACAGATACTTCACCTGAGACAGAAGCTGATAAAGGAGCTACGGCTAGCCAAGTATCAGAGACTGAGTGGAAAAGTCTGTATGCCACGTTAGAGAAAATGAAGATAAAACCAGACAACTTCACATCATGGTTAGCTTCGCAGGAAGATCAGCCACAGGCTAAGAAAGAACTGAAATTTCCTACCACACAAGCAACCACACAAGCACCAACAATGCCACCACCATTACCTACCGGCTCTTACTATAAAGCACCCTTGAGGATCTCAGTGTTTTCTGGTGATGAAAAGGACTCATATGAACTGTGGAAGTATGAGGTTGTTTGTCTCATGAAAGAGTCTCATTCTGAGGAGTCCATTCTTCAAGCCATCAGACGTTCCGTCAAAGGGGAAGCAGCCAAAGTCATCATGAGATTAGGTGTAGGTGTAAGTGTGCAAGAAATCCTATGTAAGTTGGACAGTATTTATGGAAACGTGTTGGAGAAAGAGGATATTTTGGCTGAATTCTACAGCGCGAAACAAAAGGATGACGAGACTTGTTCTGCATGGAGTTGCCGTCTTGAGGATATTTTATGCAAGGCGATGAAGATGGGTAAAGTTCAGAATAGTGCAGCAAATGAGATGCTTCGCACTATGTTTTACAAAGGACTCAGACACGACTTGAAAGATATTTGCGGACACCTGTACCATTCGATCAATGACTTTGACAAGCTGCGAGTGGAAATCAGGAAAATCGAGACTGAACATCCAGCTCAAGGAAAA